GGTTTTAACTGTGAGACTTCTTGACTTTCACCTGGAAACTCTGAGAATGTGTGTTGACCACAGCTCTTCTGACCAGGATCAGGGTTCAAATCCACTCCATGTTCTTTTGACATCAGGTGACTCTCTACAGTTTCCTTATCCTCATAATACAATAGCAATGCAGCTACTTATGGTTTGTGATATTGTGAGATTTGAGTGAACTAATGTGAAGAAATGTCCCAGTGCAGCGCCTGAGGTATTTGGGGCGAAACAAGTTCTGGTGTCATTCCCCACAAGAGCCCAGCCGTCACGCCCTGCCGGTCCTCTGCAGTCCTCTTTTGCCAGTCTTCCCTTCTGTCACCTACGTCAAGCCATGCACTCCCTCAGCCCTTGGCTAGAATAATGGCTGCTTAATTCTCTCTTACCCAAAGACTGGGATATTCCTAACCTATTCTTTATGTTGAACTCTTTCTTGGAAAAAAAATAGTCATATTGTTCTGCTGCTTAAAAGCTCTCCTGATGCCCATAAAACATAATTTAATTTTCCTAAAGGAGTATACAAGGGATTTGGTTATCAGAGAATTCACAGTTGACTTCTACCACTCCTTATCATACTTTCTATGTAACCAACTCTCTGTTCACCACACTTTTCCTGAAGCTCTGTCTTTGGGCTTGCATTCCTCACCCCTTTGTGATGTATTTCCCACCTTCTGACAGAGAACAACCATTTATCTTCAAGACATAGCTGAAATGTCACCTCCCATATGTCATCTTCTCAGGCACATAGAAGAATTTATCTTCCTGTAGGATTTGTAATTATATCCATTCTATTATACCATTTTTCCTTCAATAACTTGTTTATATCTCTGCCTCCACATTGAACAGCACTGTCCAATGTTTACCATAAGGCCAAGAAGGTTGTAACATTTGATAAGTATTTAGTGAATTAACAAATTATAGGATGGTGAAAAAAATAGGAAAAAGAAAAAAAATTAAAAACCCAATTGCAAACAACAGCAAAAAAGTCAATAATGCTACAACGGGTCAGCTCCTGAATTCATATGCAAGTGGATTTTTATTTTCCATATATATGTGTGTATATATATTCTTTCTACACTGGTGGGTGAAAGAAGTAGAATTGAAATATTTATTCAGGGAAGTCTGAAAAGCAGGAACAACCGCTGCTAGTTTACACATTGACTTATTGAAGATTGATATTTGTTTTTAATTATGTGTATGTGGAGGAAGCAGAACTCAAATGTGAGTGCAGGTGTCCACAGAGGCTAGAGGCCTACATACTCCTGGAGCTGCAGCCACAGGAGGCTCTGTGCTGGGAATCAAACACAGGTCACCCACAAAAGCAGGACCTACTGAGCTGTCTCTAAAGGCCTCTAGAGTCAATTATATTGGTTTTAAAAGAAAATGCATTTTTAACTTAAGTTTTCAAGCTCAACAATACATTTCCTCTGCTAGTTGGCACACAGCATAAACACGGAGATATTTTGTTATTTATAGAAAATAAAAAATTTTAGGTAGGCCAATTCTTTCTTTCTTTGCATGCTATTAAATAGGAAAGCCAGGGACATGTACGCACAGGAGCAAACCGACTCTTTTGTGTAGTTTTGTCATCGACTCTAACTCTTCATTCAGAAGGCTCTGTGTCCTGGTTTTCCTCTATCCTTGGGTTGCTGGGAATTTAATGAGAAGGTCAGTGGTGGTCTCATTTTCTTTTCTTCTGCTTTTGTTATGAAAGTAAGAAGAAAAAAAAAGCTGGTATGCAAAGATAAGTTCAGGGCTCTAGTAACAAGCTTCAGTGAGTGCCTAGCCTCGGGCTGACAGTGAATAAAGGAGCCTCGCTGGTGATGAAACACTAAATATGAGAACCTGTGTTTCTGGTTCTGCACTGTCATAGAGCTGCTGTTATTCAGCATTTATTAGGTACCCACAGCGTGTGAGGCATAAACATGACAAGTGGAAAACACGGGTCCCTAGCCTCTAAATTACCAAAGACAGATGCACAAGGAAGGAGGTAGACCTGGAAATTGCTTCCAAATGGCTGTTTGTAGGAGGAATTAGAAAGGAGGGAAACTCGAGGAGGGGCCAGTGGGTGGACAGGATGGCGGGTAAGGCAGAAGGAGGTGTGAGAAGAGTTAGTGTTTTCATAAAAGGGAGAGGGTAAGAGGTCAGGCCAATTTCCAGAGTCGTAAGGATTGAGATGAAAGATGGACTGGCGATAATGAAGACCCCAAAGGGATGAGGGGGGTGGTGGTGGCTGCGCTGATGAGAATGCCCACATCCTGTCCTCCACCTTTCCAGGATGGTGGCAAGATAAAATATATCCTGGATCTCTTAAAATGAAAACCCAAGCTCCATGAATAGCTTGGCCATTCCCCAGCCCTGGTTTCCTCGTTTCTGATAACAAACAACAGAGCTGAGAACAGTGGTACAGGACTATAGTTCTACTTACTAGGAAACCTGGAACCTGAGGGCCCCAAGCTCAAAACCTACCTAGGGTAAAGACTCAAGTTCAGAGCCAACTTAGGTACTAAGGGTGGCCCTGACTCAAAAGTATAACAAAGACTAATGGCTCTCTGTTACCGCAGTACTGACTACACTCTCTCTACGGTACTAAATAAGTATGTTTTCTTTGTTTTTAAATATAAAAATGGGTAACTCCATGGTAGAACATTTTTGTAGAATGTGCATGAACCTAGCGAAAACAAAAAGTAAGATTTCAAAGAATCGCCCTGAGAATTAAAAGATAGAAAGCCATGCCAGTATCTTGCACATTGTTTGGGAGACTCACTCAAGACACACTGTAATCTTAGGCAACCTCTGATATCCAAGCTTTCTTGCTTTTCCTGGACATTCTTAGTACTCTTGAAGGAATAAGACTTTGTTCCCAAAGGAGAAGATTAAGTTTAAACAAGCAACATTCACTAGTAAGTACGTAGACAAGAAGAAACATCAACTAACAACTGAATTTTAACCTAGATGTTCGTTTGTGGTCATTAGACACAGACCAAACAATAAAATTAAAAATGAAGATGGCAGTGGGAGCCTTGTTCTATGGTTCTTGGGAACCTTGGAGGCAGGGCATAACCATCTTTTCATCCTCTGAAATGATCTATATGATCTTATTTATAAGGAGGCTGTCAGTCAATTTCACACTACCTTTCTCTAATGCTATCCCTCCCCCAAACATGTAAGCCCAAGGGATCAGTAACAACTTAAAGGGGGAAAAATAGTGTAAAGTTACACCAGGAACTGCTTCAGCGCTGCCTCTGTGTGCTGTTCCCTTGGGCTCCAACACTGAATGAAACTTATCTGAGTGGCCCAGTCCACTCCCACCCCGGTCAGATCCGCAGCCCTTTGTTAGAACATGATCGAGAATTGCCCAATCTCAGGGGGCAGCCAGTCTATAATGACCCACATTGTCCAAACACACAGGAGTTCACTCTCTAGGAATGAAAACTCATGCTCTTTTTCTATTTCTCTGTTGACAATGCAAAGCAGGGCTGTGTGGTAAACCCTGAGTTTATTCCCAGGATGCTGGCTTCATAGGCAGTACAGTTATGGAGTCGGACAGCTCACTGAAAGGGAAGCAAAATGGGATATTATCTCAGCATCATAGGAAGGGCCTGAGAAAGACAGAATATTCCCCAAATGTAGCCGTCACGAGCCTGGCATGCCCGCATTGATGATTTCATCAGGCCAATAATTAATAAGCGTGAATTAGGCTAATGAAATCAGATCGGGTAATGAAAAGCAGCCTTCTCGTTAGCCTCGCTATTTTCTCCATTGTTTAATCTCTAACAGAGACTGAATTTGCCGCTCGGGACCTAATTGAGCCTATTTGACTCCTAGCCGACTTTAAAAAGAATCTCAGGGAGCTTTTAGACCAAGGCAGGTATAAAAACCGCTAAGAATCTATGCGATGACACCTGTGACATTGGGAACAGATCACATCAGAAGCACTGCCAACTTGTCCTGCTCCCTTCAAGACTGAAGACGACGTTGCGATAAAAGAAATGATAAAGAGGGGTTTGCAGATGTTTTTCTGAGGCTGGAATTTAGATGAGGTGGAGATTCACCTTCCCCCGATTGCAGCTTCTTTGAAATTTAAAGTCTATTTTGTGTGTGTCTCTGTGTGTGTGTGTGTGTGTGTGTGTGTGTGTGTGTGTGTGTGTGGCTCCTGGTGGTGGTGGTGGGGCTCACATGCATACAGGAGCCAGAGGATGACTTGGGTACTTTGGTGCCCATAGTCTGGCCTGAAACTTCCCAAGTAAGCTAGGCCAGTTGGGCAGGGAACCCGGGGGATCCACTTGTTCCCACCTCCCTCAGCCTGCGATTCTGCACCCCCAACAACACTGCCCGCCCACTTTCTGATGTAGGTGGAACCTTGCCAACTTGTCTGGACAGTTCAACCGCTGGAGATTCGGGACACGCGTATTTTAGTAACTGATTAAACTCTAATAAGTCGTTCCCTGTGAGGGCAAGTCTCAAGTGCAGTCTCAAGAGTGGAGGGATGGGAGTCAAGAGTGGACGCTTGGGCCTACACAGCAGAGCTGCAAAGGCTTGTCCTCCGTAGGAACAGTGATTTGCCTTCTCTGGCAAGAATTCACAGGATGGCTCCCTATCTTAAATCTGCAGAAAAAGCTGGACCCAGGCCTGATGGGATTTGGTTTCTATTTGAATCTTATGTTCCAAAGAAAGCTCCAGAATCCACAGAAGAGATCAAGGGCAAGGAAAGCGTGTGCCTCCCATTCTTCTCCTGCAAGGAACCCGTGACAGGCTGGGCCCCATTCCAGTGGTGCCCCATGGTCCCCTGTCCCTGAATGAAAGCAAATGCAGAGAGGAAGGAAAGCGTCAGTGAGGAAGGGGTTAAACTAGGCAGGATGTGCGGTTTAAAAAAAATCAGAATATATTTCAAATCTGATAATATTGGATCTATTTTGAGATTACTTATCAGTTGGTTATTGTGCTAATAATTACCATTAAAATTAATACTACATTTTGGGAATTAGGCAAAGAGCTAACAAGTTTGCATTGACACAGAGCGTTCCAAAAGCAATCTGAGTAACTTGTTTCCGGAATGCAGCTGCGTACGTTTCATTACCATCTTGCAGGTGGAGCCTAATTTTAGTTCAGCCTTGAGAAGGAAGGAATTGTTTCCCTCCAGATACACACAGCCCCACAACAGCAGCCAGGCAGGTGGGGCTCCACTTGTTTACATTCCTGTTTTTTTTTTTTTTCATTAAAAAAAAAAAAACAACATGATTCATCCCGTTAATCATACAGTTTCTCTCCGATTTTAACATGTTTTGAACAGAAAGAGTCTGGGTTACATTTGACCCCCGGTTCCTCCAATGTAAAACAAAGGCAATGAAATCGAAGATGATAAGAAAATGAGCAATGGATCCTAAATATAGTGTAGAAGCCAGTGAATGAACGCAAGGAAAATTTAGAAGTACATCTGTTTGGCTACAAACGCATTTTGGTTCTAACTGGTTGGCTCAGTTAGAAATACATACATTTCTTTCTGCCACTGCAATAAGGAAACTATTAGAGGAAGAACGCTGTTGCCAGGGGAAGAGATGAAGAGCAGAGAAGACATGGCTCAGTGGGGAAGACGTCTTACTGGACTAGCTTACATAGCCACACTGGGGACTCCAGCACCCATATAAAATGCCAGCCGTGAGCCAGGGTGGTGGTTCACACCTTTAATCCCAGCACTTGGAAGGCACTGACAGGAGAATCTCGGAGTTCAAGGCCAGCCAGGTCTACAAAGTGAGCCCCAGGTCAGCCAGGGCTACACAGAGAGACCTTCTCTCAAACAAACAAACAACAGAAAAGCCAGGCAGGCACAGACTCAGAGCTGAGTTCAGACACTCAGCACCCACACAAAGGTGTGCCTGTATGCCTGTAACCCAAGCACATGGGCGTGGGGGAGGGCAGCAACGGAGACCTGAAGGAGGCAGAGACCGGAGGATTGCTGGGGCTTGCTGGCCGCCAGGTTATCTGAAAACACAGAGCTCTGGCTGGGCCCAGGGGATAGAGCAGGACCCCTGATGTCTCCTTTGACCCGAATGTGCGTGGACATGTTCACTGCACACAAACGTGTACCCCGTACCCCACAAATTCAGGCATTAATTAAAGCAAAAATAGTGAAAGGAAGGGTAACTTGGCTTCAAGTAGTGCCCCACCTCTGGGTCTCCGGAAATCCCAGGAGCTTACGTTTGAGATGCAGGACAAAGCGTTTTAAAGGTTGGTTATTAACAGCAACGTCTCTTTAAATGGATTTAGCAAGTAGTTGAAGCTTCAAGGCACAAGCTGCATCCTTTTGCTGAATTTAACGTGTGCTGTGAACCTACTGTGTGTCTCTCTCTAGATATGAGAGCTAAGGGTTGGACCATAATCCAGCTGTGTGAGTCGTCTTCTCTGTGGGGTGTTGTCGAACATTCTGCAAGCTCTAGAGAGAGGGGGTGGCGCGCTGTGAGACTCCTTTCTTTCAGTTCAGCCCTGTGGAATGGATGGAATTCGTCAGTATGCCGGAGAGATGCTTTTTGTTCTGAACCTGAACAGAGACTTCCTTGAGAGGCCTGTTTTGCACCTGGGAGGTCACCATTCAAAGACATCATCTTGATGACGTTTCTTAACCTGGGATGTAGGTTTGCCTGAGATCGAAATCTTCCTACTTAATGTGAATGTCTATTTTTCTCAGGATAGGGTGAAGAGCATTCCTGGGCTTCCCCCCTCCAAAAAGCAAGTCCATACTCCTGCTAAAAACCGCAGCTTTGCACAGAATGTTTTCAAATAACTTTTAGCACAGTGGTCTGTGTCAGCTCATGGCCTCAGTTACACAGCAGCCTTTGCCTGCCTTCCTCTTACAGTAAGCTAAACTTTGGCAAGTTTGCACTTTTGCCTGCCTAGACTACTTAGGGTTTGCTTCACAATTCTTTTCCTGTCTCTGACCTCTAAGCATGTTGAATGACCATCTAAGAGAATGGTGGATTTTTCTAAAGACTGTTCTCTTATTCAGCATAGATTTATTAAGCACTGACTATATTTAATATATATCCAGATTTCAGAAATATGTAACACACTGTTTCCTTCTAAAATTCCAGGGCTTTTGGTAGAGACTTTTACCTAGGGAAAGAAATTCCAATCATCTAATCTGTTTGTAAAGGAAGAAAATATTCCTTAAGACCCCAGCTTTTCAAAACATCTTCACCTCTAATCTTGAGATTTAAATGAAAGGGTGGAAAACAAAGGATGGTGCTGTTTGTGCAGTATGACAAAAGCCACACCTCCTAGGAGGACTGTTTGCTCTACTGTCATATGCTACCTGCATGCAGAGGTGACTGACAAGGGGGTCTGTGTGGGTGAGCCAGAGCAATGAAACTTTCAGAATGGCTTTGGGGTGGAGTGATGGTATAGGTCAGAAAAGGCAGGGAAAAAAATGTGTGTTTGAAGCCTGGACTAAATTAGCATTTTTAAGCAATCTAATCTCATAGATGGTAATTGCTCGCTTACCAGATTGAGATTATGAAACTTTCTTGAGGGTAATTCTGACAGGATTTTAAAAAATCATGATAAGACCCAATCTTCTGATACCATCTCTTTCCAGTAGGTTGCAAACTGACTTCCCCATTTCTCTCATTCCTCCTTAATGAAGGTCCTTCCCTCTAACTTGCTCACAAGGCTGAGAGGATAAAGAAAAGGGGACAGAATGAACAAGAGAAGCAAATTATTTTTCCTTCTTTCTAGCTGAGACCCACACTATTAATAACAGGAGCCATCCCTTCCACCTTTGTTTGAAGCCTTCTTCCCTATGTAAATGTGGGGATCTACCCACTGCTCACCACCAGACACAAGGTTAGATGTGTGTGTGTGAGTGTGTGTGTGTGTGTGTGTGTGTGTGTGTGTGTGTGTAGGGGATTTATAGAATATAAAGGGAATTGTTTTAGCTACCTGTCCAGAGGCTCCTGGATTTGTTTGTTTGGGGTGTTGTTGTTTCTTTAGTATCCCCAGCTAAAAACCACAGAGCTGGCAGCTCGCTTCTCTTCTTTCAAGATGTGTCCTTTCCTGGTACAGTCTCTTCTGCTCACTCCCCCACCCCCCACCCTCACCCCCGAAAGCCTACTTTTCCTGCTAGGTTCCCTAAGACATATAGTCAAACATTACAGGAAGCACGTGACTCATTTTACTCCTGCTGCTCAGTGGACTCAGAATGCGACTTCAAAAGATTTGTTCCCCATGTTTAATCTGAACCTCATTGAGTCGCCTGCCATGGAAGCCTCCACCACAGCTGATGAGGTGAAGTCCTTTCTGAAGTACTTGGATGAGACCTGACTGGTAGGAAGCTGCTTCTGAAGAAGTTCTGACCGACATCGAGGCAACAGTTATGAGATTCTTGCAGATTTTTGCTTTCTTAAAGAGAGTTCAAGCTGTGGAGAGTCCAAGTACTTGATATGAAAACCCCCAGTCCTGTCCAAGTGCAGAAGACTGGTGAGACAGCCTTTTGGCAGGGTCACACCAACCTCCTAGGAGACAGATGAGATAAATCTCCTTTCCTGGCTCTCGGTGAAGGCAAAATTCTGCCACTTCAGGCCCAAGGCTGTCATGCCCTTTATCTGGAACCTGAGGTGGTTAGGGTTAGCACTAACACCCACCCTAGTGCTCACTGGGCTCAGCTCTGTTTAGTTTGTTTAGCACAGAGATTGGGTAAGGCTAAACAAAGCATTAGCCAAAACTCCTGTGAATGCATGAGAATCTTTTCGGTGGAGAAAAGAAACAATAATTTAAAAATAAAGACTATTTTGATTATACATACCAATATACTTGAATAATGTCTACTCTTATTTTATTTTTAAGGCTTTCGGTTAGCAAGAGTTATTTAGACTGGGGCAAGGTGTCTTTCGTATTTTTCAAGCCACTTTCTCCCAGCCTTACATATATAAGTGTATTTAAGCCCAAATTAAATAACGTATTTTGAAAGTGTTTATATTCATCCTACTGCCAAACAAAGATCCAGTTACTCAAATAGATTAGATTACTTGGGATAGCAGAATTGCCAACCAGTCTGTACCCAGCATTGATGGACCAGTTCCTTGAATGCTGTGCCCCTTTTCTGATTACTACAGGCAATGCAGGGTACAGCAGACACAGAATTGTTGGGCAAATGAAAATTGATGGTGCTAGTGGGAGTAGGATTGATTTGCAAATTGTCTTACCCAGTGTGGTTTTCTTGATGTTTCTAATAATCTTTTAAGTAAATTGTAAAAGACTGCCCAGTATACTGATGGACCTGAAAGTCTGAAGGGGGGGCTCAAATGGGCAGATTCAGGCCCAGATCCCCATGCCTAAGGGGCACCAGAACCCTGTTGCCAGAGCCCAGTCTCCTATTCATTATTCTTAACTCACTTGGCCTTTCTAGGCATTTGGTATTTGAACCTCTGGGGTAAGAATATTTTTAAAAGGCCGTTCCATGAAAAGGCAAGCCTAAAATTTTTTGTTTTGTTTTAAGCATAAAATATTCCTACTAGACAAACCTGGGATAGTACATCATTCCCCCTGCCCAAGAACTCACTGCTGCACTGGATGTCTCTAGGTCTAAGAGCTCACATGCACTCAGGTTCCAGTATGGTTGGTGATGAGCCTCAGGCTGCCTCTCATTTTTTTCTCTGCTGAGTAAACTTAATCCTGGTGGCCACATGTGATATGCCCTGCTCTCTGCAGCCTCCTTGGAGCCTGTCTGCAGCTTCCCACCTGCCCCGTGTCTTTCATTTAATGAGTACCTGATGACTGAAGTAAAAAAGAAATAGCAATATTCTGTTAATATATTAGCTGGCCCTTGACTGCTCTCTCCTCAGGTTTATGTTGGAGTGGCAACATTATGGCTTTCTTCCTGTTTGAACTTCAGGTCAAATAACTTAACAAGGGAGATTTTAGGAAGAATAGTATCAAGCCCCATCTATCCCAGGAAATGAGAAAAAGTGAGGGCAATCAATAGGAAGATTGTAGGTTCAGACTTTTAAACTTACTTGCTTTCAAAATCGTTCCCTGTAGATTGGAGACGCAGCTCGGTTGGTAGAGTGAGTGTTCGAACAGCAAGGAGGAAGCTCTGGGTTCAATCCGCAGTGCTGGGGGAGCTGAGTTATTGTGGCACATCAATAGTCCCAGCACTCTGTTAGCAGAGGTAGGAGAACCAGAAGTTCAAGGTCATCCTTGCATGCTAAGGAGTTCAACTGAAGCCAGGCCTACTACACACACACACACACACACACATTCACACACATACATACACACACACACATACACACACACACACATATACACACACACTCACACACAAACATACACACGCAGACACACATATACACACACACACTCACACACAAACATACACACACAGACACACACAGACAGACACACACACACACATACACACACATACACACACATATACACACACACACACACACACACACAAAGAAAAAAAAGTTTCTTGCTTGAGTAGAGTCTATGAATCTGTTTCTTTACCTCTCTAGTTTGATAAACAGGGAGAACATTAATTCTGTCTAGAGAAGACAGTGTTCTGCCTCACCTCAGCAGGAGACAAATTGGTACCTGGCAGGGAAAATTATATGTCAAAAAATGATAAAGAAATGATAAGAACTGGCCCCAGTTATTGATTCATTCCCCAAATGTCCTTTAGGGCTTGTAGTGTTTTAGGGCTTGGTGATAAGGAGACATGTAAACACGTAAGTGCAGAGTTTGTTATGAGCACAGACGGGCATCTATGCAGGGAAGGAGAGGAAATGCGTGTGGCGTGCGTCCTGTCTGACGAAATCAAGTTGACGCTCCTGAGCTGAATCCTAACAGAAACCACACATTTTGTACTCAATTTGGATAAGACATTAAAGAATGTTTAACTCTATAAAGTAGATTAGGACAATTAATCTCCCTTCCATGGAAGTACAGGCCATAGAAGAACACTTAAGAATATAAGGTATTTATCAAAAAGCATCTAGGGGCTGCAAAATAAATGAGTAGAGGTGTATACTCTCCATTCTGCCTTGATTTCAATTCTGGCCCCATAGTCTGTTAACAGTGTGAATTGGGCAAGTTGCTTAAGTTCCTTCTGCCTCAGTTTTCTCCTTTGTTTAGAGGAAGTGATATGATGGCCTCATATCCTAGAGTCGAGACTAATAATAAATAATTAAATGTGTGGAAAATGTTTATCTCTGAAATGCCTGGCACACAATTGTATAAGGTCAGCCATTAGCAACATCACAGTAAAATACAGTAGAAAACAAACGACTGTGTTCCTCCTGAAACAGCCACCTCAACAACAGGATCATATATTTCAAAGCACTTACTAATGAAAACTTAGATAATTAAAACAAAAAGAACGCTCAAACCTCATATGCCTTGCATCATTTATGCTTCAGCTTTGCATTTTACTCTCACTCATCTTGGATAATGAAACCAGACCAGCTCCCATAATTGCCCTTCTGCAAGTAACTGATCAGAATTTGGTTTTTCAATTTTTCAGTGAGGATGGTCTTCCAGCTGCAGTAAATTAGCATAACATCGCTGTGTCTCCACATCGTCAAGGAGAAAGGCTCTACAATACGCTTTTATTATCAAATGTAATTTAGACTTGTGAATTGTAATTGTTTTGGGTATTGTTTTTCATTTTCAAGATAAGGTTTCATGTAGCCCAGGCTAACTTTGAGCTCATTTGGGTGATATTCAATTTCTAATCCTTCTGCCTCCATCTCCTCAATGCTGGGATTACAGAAGCTGCTGGGGATCAAACCCAAGGTGTTATGCATGGAGACAAGCATTTACCAATTGAGTTACTTCCTGGCCCCTGATTCAGAAGCTTTTCCCAACTGTCTTTTAAGTCCTTACAAATGTCACTGTATGACTCCCGCACCCACCCTCCACTTGGTAGGTAGATAGTATTCAAGGAGTATTTTTGAGATGTGTTTTATATGTAGGGCTTTTTACAGAACAAATTCAATGTTTGCTTTCCTTCCAATAAATTCAATGACAGCAAATGAACCCCAATAAGCTGAAATGAATGGGCAAAATAAGTGCTGGTACTTTCTCTAAAACGGAATTTCGGGTGAGCAGCTCTGCCTGTTATGTTTGCGATACCAGAGAAAACGGGATAGAGTCAGGAAAATTCAATCAGTGCTGAGCTATGTTTGGTAAGAGTTCAAGGTAGGTCCTGAGCTTAACATCATTCCCTAAGAAAATTTACATGGAATTCATAAAGTGAAAGAGAACATTTAGAAAAGACGACGCTGGATATTACACATTAATACAAGTCCACTAAGAAGAAAATAGCCTCCAGGAAACCCACAGTCTTTCTTCAGAAGAGTGTGGGCCTGGATTTAGCAAGTCATTCCATCAAAATACACATTTCTAGAAGCTAAGTTAGAGTCGGGTGTTAATGCCGTTCTGGTTTCCAACAAGTAGGGATCCCAAACTTGAGAGTGATTGGGAATAGACTTTGGAGCAAGATGCTTAGACAATGTAGAAGTTCTAAAACACACTGACCAAGTGCATCTGTGAAGGTTCTGTCAATTTCCTGAACCTCAATCTTCAACAAGCAACCATTAAAGCCATCATGTCATCAGGATGCTGCGTTTAATAAAGCCATCCATCATGTTTCTCACTTGCTTCTTAACCATCCTTGTAAAATCAGTCTTTTCTTACCCACTTAGGGCCAGCCAACTATCTCTCATCAGCCTGTGTAGAGCTGTTTAAGATACATACAATTGCTTTCTTTTCCTCTTTTATATTAATCATTTAGAAGACAGCATCTAAGGCATTGCAATTGCATCAACAGGTCCCTTGCTGTGTGCAGAGCTCCCGCCAGGACAGCCTTTACCCTCTTAAGAGTTCTTGGTGTCATCAGGGACCAGCACACAGTCTGACACCCAGAATCGACTCAGATGCCTTTTAGTGAATGATGCACAATGAAATATGCTAACAAACACATTGAATAGTCAAGTCAGGCTTAAAAAAAAAAACCCACCAAAAGTAATTAGAACACTGGACCCGTGCCAAAGATGAACTCTAATATGAATGGGCATATAACTAATTTTTCCCACTCAAAACATTAATTCCAACAAGAACAAGACCTAAGAGACTTGATGAAGCAGGGTTCTCTCTGTAAAAGGCAGACATTTTAGTTTTGTGAAAGTCCAAGAATCAAGAATACGATCATGATGCCCCTCCCTCTTCAGAGTGCATTTCCGGCCTCAATATAAAAGACTTTAAGGAGTCCTGAGCAACTGCAGGACACTTGGATTTTGCATAATTAGACCACATTTCAAGTAATACATTCAGATCTGACTGCCACGTTTAGGAGAGACACAGACAAACTGGAATCCATCCAGCATGATGATAAGCCTTAAAAGCCATATCATATTATAATGATTAAAGGGATGTTCCATCTGGGAAAAAGACGACTTGGGGAAAATGATAGCCATTTTCAAATAGTTGAATAACTTTCATGTGGAATGGGGATTAAATTTTTCCTATGAAGCTTTTCAGAAAGAAAAAATATTCATACTAAAGAATAGATTATTCAGAAATGTAATGGTTAAAACTAATGTTGAGCTTTTTTAGCATGAGAGTGAGTGCTAGAGAGATGGCCCAGTGGTTACCTCCGTCTGCTTCTCTTTTAGAGGACTGGGGTTCAGTTCCCAGCATCCACAGTGAGCAATTACAACCGCCTGCAACTCCAGCTTGGGGTATCTGATACTTCTTCTGGCTTCCATGGGTATCTTCACACATGTAGCATACACGCACACACACACACAACACACACACACACACACAACACACACCCACACACACACACAAACACACACACACACACAACACACACACACAACACACACACACACAACACACACACACACACACACACACTCGCACACACTATAGATGATTGGTAGATAGATCTTTAAAGTCAATAAAATAAGAAAGTAATCTGAGAGTTGTGTGCTCTCTTCAGAGTGATTTGCATATTCTTTACTTAGGAAATGATTCCCGAGTGCACCTATATGCATAGCTTGTATCATTTCTATACACAGGGGAAAGCCACAGTAGGTTATAGGCAAGTTAATATGTACCACTTACAACTTCCACTTGTGTAATCAGAAACATACCTGTAAAACTTTGCTTCTCAAATACTAGCTGAGTGTCATTATATGTCAATTTTGTGATGTATACAGGACAATTTGAAGCAAATGCAATATGATACACGAAATACCTACTTTCTACATTTTTTTTCTTTTTGAGACAGGCTTTCTCTGTGTAACAGCTCAGTATGTCCTGGAACTCACTCTGTAGAGTAGGCTAGTCTCAAACTCACAGAGATCTGCCTGCCTCCCTACTCCTGAGTGCTGAGATTAAAGGCGTGCGCCACACCATCTGGCAGAAATCTCTATTTTAAGAGGAATGTTGGTTGAAACTTTGATGTTTAAGACGAAATAAGTTTTAAAATTGTAAATTTGCTTGATTTAAATGTCACCAAGGAATCAAGAGGTTTGAGAACATTAAAATCTCACCTCTGAGTCCACTGACAACACAGGTTCAAATCATATGCCAATGTCAGGCCTTCCCATTCCCTGAGCCATTTGTTTTCTAAATGCTGTTTGCTTATGAAATACTTATATTAACAGATAACACATTTGATTATGGCATATCCTAAATTCTATTTTAAAAAAGTCTGTAAGACAGTTATGCAGCTAAGAAACATTTTAATACTCCAATCAAAAATTTTAATTCATTTATTGAGTGATTGTACCAACTGTCTACTATTCCAGTTGTAAGGTAGGGCGGGGGGAGCAAAGAAGGAGAGAAAAAGAAAATTACTGTTTTTTTTTTTTTTTCAAGAAGTTAACAGAACACTTGTTGTCTCTTAAAAAGAAGTAATGAGGAGCCTACTGAGCATTCTTTAATCCTAACTGACATATATGTTTGATTTGCCATCCAATAATTTAAGAGCAAAATGAACAAGATATGCAATGTAATTTTAGTTGTAATTATTATGGGTCTCTCTGCCTTTTGTTTTGTAAACATTTGCTGTAATTTTAAAAAAAAGATTGAAATGGAGTAATCATTTATGATGAAAGCTTTCGTGTTAAGGAATAAATA